TGATTAATCATATATGCAATATAGTGCAGGCCAAAGCCCCTATTTGCACCCTTCATTTATTTTTTTTTTCGCGGTCAACACCTTCTAAAATTTTTCTTTTCTATTCACACCTTTCACTTTTCAAAACCCGTGAAAAACCTAATATTTTAATTGACCGTCACGGCACCGTTAAAAAATATATTACGTGGCATCTAAAAATTGATGTGGCACTATGTAACGTTAATAATCCAACGTGGATCTTCTTTTTTTTTTATGACGTGGTTTATTTTTTACGGATGTGGACGCCACGTATACAATAAAAATAATAAAAAATTATAATATTATCAAACAATTACATAAATGGCATTTTTTCATTTTTTTCTTTCCCCCCTCATCCTCGGCATCATCTTCACCATCCTCATGGGGAACCTAGTTCGGGTTCTTGCACGGAACCCAATTATGGGCTCCTGCGCGAGGAACCCAGTTCTGGGCTCCTGCGCGAGGAACCCAGTCCCAACCTTTTTATTTTTTTTTTTGATTTTTTTATTTTAAATGTATTTATCTTAGCTTCCGATTTTATGCAAAGCAATTTGGAATAATTTTTTTGTTGGAAATGTGAGTTTTTTTGCTTGGAGATTGTTTCTGAATAGGTTGCCAATTTGAGTTTTTTTCGTTTTATGTGGGAAAGGAGTAGAAGATGCTTATCATGTTTTTGTGCAGTATTCATTTACTTATAATTGTGTGGATGAAAATCTTAGCTTGGTAGGCATTCATGTGAAATTAGGTTCCACGAAGAACTCAGAACCTGGGTTTCGCGAGGAACCTAGGGGGATGAGGACGAAGATGGTGAAGATGATGCCGAGAAAGAAGAAAATGAAGAAATTAAAATTAATGATGATTTAATTATAACACATATAAAAAAAAGTCTAACATTGGATTAATAAATGTGACATAAAGTTCTGGGTTCCTGGTTCCATGAGAAATCCAGGAGGATGAAGAGGAAGATGGTAAAGATGATGCGGGAAAGAAGAAAATGAAAAAAATTAAAATTAATTATAGTTTAATTATGCCATATCATTAAAAAAAAAAAAGTCCACATTGGATTATGTTACTGTTTAATGCCACGTATTACAATTTTTAACGATTATTAACGGTGCCGTGACGGCCCGTTAAAATATTAGGTTTTTCATAGGTTTTGAAAAGTGAAGGGTATGAATAGAGAGGAAAAATTCTGAAAGGCATTGACCGCGGAAAAGAAATAAATGAGGGTGCAAATAGGGGCTTTGGCCTATAGTGCAACGAGTTAATAAAATTTTGATATCCAAATAAATAATAGCGGTTATTAAACAAATATCCTTTTTACTTTTAAATCTTTATTTATGTTTCAAGAGAAAAATAATGCATGCATATAAACCTTAATTTTCATAATTTTTTTTTTTTAAAGTTTCAATCTCAAAAACATCTTTATTTAGTAGATAGTTTGGAAAATCAATCATTAAATTTATTGATTTATTGATATAAATTATGCATATTAATTTTTATTGAAGGGTAGTACTTTTAAGATTGAAAGTATATATATATTTTTAAGGGTTAGAAGTTATTTTTTTTTTCTTTTAAATAAATGTAGAATGTTTAATGAAAACTATGAATGAATGAATTGTTGCAGGTGAGTGCTTCCTGCCATAAATGTGGAAGGAAAGGGAAGTGCTGGAGTTACAGGTCAGCATGTAAGAAATACAACCTCCACGTGGAGTGTGTACTGGAGATGTCGGTGGAGAATTGGCATGAGTATTTCGGACGTGGCAATGGTAGTAGTTGGGAGCTGGAGACAAGAATTCCTAGCTTGAACAATACTGCTCTTCAGACTCATCATCAGAAGGGCAAGTGGAAGAAGGTGAAAAAGTGGTGTAAGTTGGCCAGAGTTGCGGTGCAGATCGTGATATCGACGGTGCTCGGCGATCCCACCAGTCTATTTGCTGGGGTTATTGGTAGTTTGTCAAGGTAAATTAAGGTTGATGAGATTGTGGACTGAATTGTAACGCATGCAGGGGATGCTTAACTTTATGTAGTAGGTATTTATGGGGTTCATGTGCGCCTCTTCTGGTGGGAATAAATCATTCCATGTTAATCCCATGTTGTGGAAAATAATATGTTTTGAGTACTCTGTTTCTTTTTATTTGTAGAAAGAGAAGTCTATTTTCAGATAAATTTAAAAAAATAAAAATATTTGTGAAATTGTTTAAATGATTTATTAAAGGTATTTAATTAATTAGTTTTAAAGATTACAAAAAATTAAGATATCTTGACAATAATTAAAATATTAAGATTTTTATGAAATTATTTAAATTCCAAAATTCAATGTTTTTTTTTTTTTTTGATAAATAAATTTTATAATATTACATAAAGAGTAATTCATAAGACATAAAAATAAAAAATAAAAAAAAAAGTTAAGAATCATGCCAAAATTTTCACATCATGTATAAATTCTCTTATTGTCTCATTTCTTTAGAAGCCCCAAAAGACAATGAAATACAACGAGATATCCCATTTCAGCCATCCCCAACACAAGCTCAAGTTCGAGTACTCAGAATTTCCGCTCAAGTGTGACGGCTGCAAGGAAGTTGGCATCGGTTCCAGCTACAGATGCGCCGCCTTCTGCGATTTCGACCTCCACATGCACTGCGCCATACCCTCTCCATCCATCTGCCATGCATTCTATTCGAAATGTTCATTTAAGTTCCTTCCCCTGCCGCCTGGTGACATGGCAAGATATTGCAACGCCTGCGAGAAGGACGTCACCGGCTTTGTCTATCACTGCGAGGGCTGTGGATTTGATCTCCATCCCTGCTGCGCCAAGCTGCCTATGGTCCTCGACGATGGAGAGGTGAAGTTGTTTCTCCATAGGAAGGTGAGTGCTCCCTGCCATAAATGTGGAAGGGAAGGGAGGAGCTGGAGTCGCGTGTGTACGGGAGATGTTGGTGGAGAATTGGCATGAGTTGTATTTCGAACGTGGCAACGGTAGTAGTAGGAAGCTGGAGACAAGAATTCCTAGCTTGAAGAATACTCTTCAGACTCCTCATCAGATGGGCAAGGGGAAGAAGGTGAAAAAGTTCTGTAAGATGGTCAGATTAGCGTTGCAGTTTGTGATATCAGTGGTGCTCGGCGATCCCACGGTTTTCATTGCTGGGGTTATTGGTAGTTTGATGTCAACATAAATCAAGGTTGATGAGATTGTGAATCATGTCAAAATTTTCACAAACACTGTAAAGATTCACTCCATGTACATAAATAATTAGTTTTACATAAATAGATAATAAACATTCCATAATCCAGCAAATCCATAAATAACACCAAAGAGAATGAAGAAACTTAAAACTAACCATCTTGTTACATCTAGCAAGGCAACATTGTAGTAGTCCAACAATAATTCAAGCTTTTGATCAACAATTTTAAGTTGAAGGAATAACTTTTTTTAAAAAGTACTCCAAATTAACATAATCTTAGAAAAAATTCTTATCATTGGGTTGAGGAAGAGAAATTGG